TTTTTGTATAATAAGAAGAATCAATTGGTGTCGATGATCATACAAAGGTTCTTGATCTAACTTCGAGATTCATCAAAGGAATAGGTTGGGTTGTCGATCAATGCGCGCGCAACATTAGACAAGGATAAAGATAGCTCTCTCATTTTCTCTCTCTTTCTATCAGCTCACAGTTCCCATCAAAGGCGCCGCCAGGTCTCTCCTACTCTATGTATATAAACTCTTTGGACAGATGACGCGACGCATGACGCGCTCAGTGGGAACGCACCCTAAGCATCATTTGTCTTTATTTAATATTCGATTAACAACAAGGATGAAATGATTCCAAGGACGTTGTGAGCATAAATCGGACCGCAACCGTTATTAAGTCGGTTCCACATTAGTTGCAAGCCGATCGCAAGCTTGTTGCGACAGCCAATCTGAAGCTTGCATTTTGAAATCAATGCTTCGGATTGGCTGTTGCAACAAGCTTGCGATCGGCTTGCAACTAATGTAGAACCGGCTTTAATCGCACTCCGAACGATTAAACCCGCTCCGTCCGAAAACGCTAATAAAGTATTTCGTCGTCGGTAGCTTTTACTTGTATTCGCGCCAATTTCACGGTTCACAACATCCGGAAGAAAGGCGAAACTTGTATGCCCGCCGTTGGTGGCGTTGCTTTCCCAAGCCTTCTGTTTCGGAAATTGTCCGATCTCTCGTGTCACCCAACTCCGAAACTGATTACACTTCACGTCCTTCACGAGGTAATTGACGATAATTGCCACACGCGTCAACTACGTTACGGCAAAAATACGCTATACGACTGGTTTGTGGTTAGCATACATATATACATATATATATATATATATATATATGCATGTATATATATATATGTATACATACATATTGTGTGTGTACATAACACGCGGGTCGAGTTCGAAAAAGATTCCTGCGATGTTCCCGGCGATCCTACGCGAATGATCTCGCGCCTCGGATATCGCGGGAACACACTCGGGGAATAACGACGACGATGGACGTACCATGCTTTGAGGTATTTCCAGGTAGCTCCTCACGATAACGCGACGTAACAAAAGATTTAGCCCTCTCGGCGATTGCCGGTCTTTCTCTCCCAGTGGAATCTGTTCAACGTCGAGACGACTCGTGTGGAGTTGTCGGTTCGAAAATGTCCGTGACCTTCGCGCAACGCGGCAGGCCACCTCCAAATCCTGCCCAAATACAGAAGGTAGTTGATTGTAGCTTTGTAAAAAAAAAGTATGGTTATTACATATCATTTATGACTGAAAGTCGAAACTGAAATACATATTTCGGATTCTGAGTAACGTAACCATGTACATGTACGTATATTTATTATGTTTTTTTTAGATGCTCGACGAGAATAGCCAGCTTATACAGATGATTCAGGAGTTTCAAAACAAGGGCAAGGCGCAGGAATGCATACAGTAAGTGATCGATGCAACAATTTTTTGTATTTCTCAATATGTCGCGTGCGCTTAGTTTTCGATTCCAATAGAAAATGTTTCTTGTGAAATTATATTCTGCAGCAAGAATTAAATATTTTTGTTATTAAGATAACAGACTTAATTTTATAAAGTTACTTTTTTTCAACTATATATAAAATGAGTACTAAAGAGAATTATTCTCTTGATATATTGGCAACTTTTATCAAGCTAATTAGTAAACCTGTTTTAATTCGCAGGTATCAACAGTTGCTACATCGCAACTTGGTGTATTTAGCATCTATCGCTGATGTAAACCAGAATCTTCAGACTTTATTACCTGTAAGTAGCAAATTCCATGAAATAACATAAGACATAATAAAGTGCATTTAATTCAACAAAGCTAAGTTGAATAAAATTAATTTTCACAAACAGTTGCAAAATTTAATTAACTCTTGATTTCTAGCTACCTCAAGGTATTCCCAATGGTCCTCAGCATGGTATGATGAATCCACAAGGGCTTCCAAGTGGTCCGGGTGGTGCAACCGGTCCTGGAGGAGAAATGCCGCCAAATACACAGCCAACAATGCCAATGTCGACGTTTAATCAAGGCCAACCAATGGCACAAGGTTATCGTGGACCTGTGATGCCTGGCCAAGGACCTGCTTTAAATAGTATGTTACATTCTAATTTGAATTTCCTACTGAGAGAAGTCTTAATATCCTAATTTTTAAATTTATATTAACTTATAATTATATATTAATCTAATCTGGGCTATATAATCAACATTTCTAGCTCTACAGATTATTAGACATTTTAATCTTTCAACATTTATAGGGCCTCCGACCGCACCAGGTCCGCAGCAGTACAGAGGTCCACAAGGCTATCCTCAGCAACCTTCTCAGCAAGGTTATCCTGCTCAATATACTGGTCAGAATCCTGGCTCAAACTACCAAGGTCCACAAGGATCTGCATATACTCCTGGTCAACCAAATCAGTACGGACCGCCAAATGCTTCTCAACAACAAGGATATAGTGCAGCGACGCAGCCAAATTATGGTCCTCCAACTACAGTAAACAGTTATGGTCCACAACCAGGTGGTTATCCGCCACCGGGCACGGCTCAGCCACCTGCCGGGTATGGGCCACCACCACCAAATCAACAAGGTTATCCGCCTTCAAACGCCTCGCAGCAAAATTTCTCATCAGGTAGTCAACAACAACAACCAGGACAATATGGCAGTCCTAGTCCTCAACCAAATTATCAACAGCCTCCGTCCCAAGCGCCACCTCAAAACGCATACGCCGCTGGACAGCCCGGAAGTTATCCTCCTCCTTCCTCACAGACGTACGCAAACAATGTCCCACCGCAAAATTATCCACCACCTCCGACAACTAGCGCGACTCAACCTCCGCAACCTGGCTCGCAGCAAAACACGGGTCCGCAGCCCAATTATGTTAGCCAACCGAGTCCAGGTCCTGGCGCGACGCAGTACGGTTCCGCCTCTACATCTCCACCATTTAGCACTTCCTCCGCGAGCGGCGGCAATACTTACGCCCAAAGCAGTCAACCCACAAGCACGCCGTCTGCCTCAACGCAGACGTATCCGCCAAATAGCGGTCCGCCACCGACATCGCAAGGCGGAAGCTATGCACCCCCGGTGCCGCCGGCTCCCTCTGGATATCCCGTTCATCAAACACCACATCAGACATCGCATCCCTCGCACCCACCACCACCACATCAGTCACCGCATCAACCACCGCACACTCCGCACCAGCCACCTCATCAACCAACTCATCAGTCATCCCATCAACCACCTTCACATCAATCACCACACCAGCCACCGCAACAATCTCAGCAACAGTCGCAAACAGCTCCGCAGACGCAACAGCAACCGTCTCAGAGCCCAGCTCCGAGTGGATTTCAGCCGCCGTCTGGTCCACCACAGGGTCCCGCCCCACCGCCAGGCCCTCAACAACCTGCTTATGGGCCCACTACTACACAAACATATGTTCCACCGACTCCAGGAGGGCAACCACAGGTGATTTGAATAATCTATGCTTTGCTACATTGGCATAATTGATTAATTTTGAATTTATTAATTATTTATTTTATCTGCAATATAATTTTTTAATCATTTTTATAATTTTATACGCAGTTTTCTAGAATAAGGAAACTATTTTTTGTGAAAAATTAAATAATATGAGTAGATAAGCACTTATATAAATTTATTATTAATAATATATTGAAAATTGAGAGTATCTTGAACTGTAGATTTACAGTCCTCATCCACCACAAGGGGGACAACATTATGGGCATCCTCAGTATCCTCCTCAAAGTTACCCTCCTCCACCTGCAGGGCAAGGATATCCACAGTATCCACCACGACCACCTGGTGGACATATGCCTCCTCCGCCTGGACCACAAGGACCACCTCCACCTAATCAATATGGAGGTTATGGATATCAGCCACCCACACAATAAAAAATACATCATAACTCCCAAATTTACATAAAGTTTAAATTGGTACGGATAAATACCGAGAATTTTTTGTTTACTTTTTTGGTTACTTTATTATATGAGTACATTAAAAATAATGAGTACTTTCGTAATGTAAATTTATAATTTATCTAGATATTGTGAATATTCACATTAATATCCATATTATATAGTATTCGCAATACTTATCTAGATATTGTGAATAACCATATCAATATGAATATTTTAATATAAAGGGTCCTCGATACAAAGAATGAGATTAGATTTTAAAAAATTAAAAAACTTAATTTAATTTAATGCGTTAAGATTGGTAATAAGAAAAAATTTAGGACAAAATTATATATAAATTATACGAGATGTTCTAAAAAACTTCCAGTTAAGATTTAAATTATTTACAATATTTTTGCCAATCCTCAGTATTTATACATTATATATTTTTTAATGTGGTGATATAAATAATTTATATATAATTTTGTTTTGCATTACATTCGTATGTACTATATCAGAGTAGCAAATCTTTATTATTATTATTATTATTATTATTATTATTAGCTGTAGATCTCGGTCAAATAAATATGCCAAAATATTCCAAATGGCTTTTAACTCTTGTGGCGAAAATTTCGAAAATACGAAAAGGATAAACTATAGCATATACAAACGCTATTAACAAATTTTTCTTTGTATAATTTGTTTTACATTAGTTTTACAAATTAATAATATAGATATATTTGTCGCAGATTTATTTTGATCTTTTCATCATTTTTTAAATATTTACTTACTATTTTGTGTACATTAAAGATGATAAATCTCAAATTCTATTTTTATTACAAATGTATACGTAATTTTTATTACTATGACTAAAGCATAAACAAATTGAAAGTCAAAGAATTATGTAACACTATGGAATGGTACAAATACCATATATAAGAATATATATACATGTTTGTTCCAATTTATTTATACTGCTCTCAATTGATATAAAAACATATTTAATTTCATAACTGATATGTGAATATGAATATAAATTTTCTATATTAAATATTATTTGCAGTAGAATTCGCGATACAATTGAAGAGACTATCATAAATCTCGCCACGCCTTGTATTTACTCCATAAATATTTTTCGAAGATGTTGATAATTGTACAAATGATGTATTCAAGTTCTCGCGACATGATTTTTAGATTAATAAAAAAAAAATATATTGAATGATATATATAAAAATAGCTAATAGGTTGTAAAAGGATTGTAAAAGAGAAGATTTATTATAAATATTAGACAACTATCTGTTTTTCAAGTTCGAGCTCATATTTTTTTTATTTTTGACATTAGGTATAAAACCGTAGTAAACAGATGTGCATTTTCGTACACGCACGATAGACAACCATTGTATGTCAATGTGGATCTGTTAAATCTTTATTATATAAAAATAAATCATAGAAAAATTAAAAACTACAATTCATCTCGAGGGTTTGAATTCCTAAAATGACACTGACAAGAATGACTAGGTTGTGGTACTTCTTCCATATTATTTAGTATTTCAACTTTACTCTTTAAGCGTTTGCTCCATTCCTGAAATAATAACAAATTGTATTGTTTGACAAGAATATATACTCAAGAAAAATAATATAAAATAGGACTTTTTTCCCATACATGAAATAAAACTGTATAGTAACATAATATATCACGTGGTAATAAATTATCCCTGGCAAATTGTTTTGCAGATTTAACAATTCTCAATCCATCCTCATCATGCTCCTTTGCCCATATGATCTTTTCGACAAGGTCTGATAGATCGCTTTTCACAGTCACATAATGTAATCCAGGTGTAAGATCTTTATAAAAAAATTCATAATACTTGGATTCTTGCTTAAACACCAAAGAATCTCCAGCAAGTAAATATGGGAATCGATAAGCTGCTACTGTGCCATCAATATTCAACAGATATTTGTACTGTGAAAAAAAATCAATATAAATTATCAATGTGAATATATCTCAAGTTATCTTTTTCCTAACAACATGTAAACATTAATGTTACATATTATCTAAATTTTTTAAAGCTTGTGTATAGCACAATTGCAAAGTAAATATACACGTACATATACAAAAAGATTTGATATCACAAAATGTATATCAAATTCTATGGGCAGGTTTTACGCTTATATCAAATGACTGGGATAATGTAATTATTACTAATATTACTAAGAGTACAACTTCGAAAATATTCATTAAACTTGACTTATTACTAGCTCTATTTATCTTCGGAAAGATTTGGCTTTTATATTTACCTTAAAAAAATTAAAAAATGATACATGATTTTGTGCAGGTCCATATTTATCTATTTCGTTTCTAAAAAAGAAGAAATTAGTAATGGACACATTAAAGAGCTCTGGATGTTTTCTTGAAATATCTATTAAGTCAAGGCGTTCCCTTCTGGCATCACGTCCACGCCAGAACAATTGTTCAGTCTTGTTCTCCCACGGCAGTCCGTTACCTTGTACGGAGAGTGTGTCTAACATTACCCTGTTTTTCAGGCATACCACATTGCAAATAAAAGCTTATACAGCTTAGATCATTAGCATTATCGAGGTGTGTTATACCTTCCCATCGCCTCCAGAGACGATTCTGTGATATCGTATGTAGGCATAACGATATCTTTTGTATTTTCAGATCCACACCATGAAAAAATGGGGTGAAGCAGACCCGAATCAGGAACAAGTGGCCAGTCGCCCAAATTCGCGAAGAATTCAATATCCGGCAGCGTCACTTTGCGCGCGAGTGACAGCAATATAGCATCCATAAATATCTTGAAGCCAACATACTGGCCATAACATTGCCTATAAATCTAATTTAATCTAGTTTAAGTCAAAATAATATTACAAACAAATACAAATTGCAAACCGATGGTATAACATAATAATTACTTTGTTAGATTTTAATACGTAATGGCAAATGCTGACACTGGTTGGTCGATCATATCTTTCAATAATGCTTTGACGTACTTCATCGAAGTCAATACTTGAAAATGGAGAGAGATCACGGTATATTTGGGTGTAATTCTGTCGACACTGATAATGATTTAGCCAGTTAGTAATTGATGGATTTGGGCAGTAACATTCTTCCTCGTAAACAGGATCTGGAGATGTAGTTTTTGTTAGATTTTAAGATCTTAAGATTCTAAGAAAAACAGAAATGCCCATACTTTTAGTTCCTAAATGGAATAAATCTTGTCCCTTGACTTTCACTTTAATCTTAATATTGTAACAGGTATTAAAAATTTTGTAGCGAATAATGAAACTTCCATCTTTACAGTCAAAGATTTGAGTCCATATACGGCATGGTGCACTGTTGAAAGATTGTCCATCTATCTGCCCAACGATTATATTCTCATCACCAGGAGATTCTGTCAAACTGGAAACATGATATATGATTACATGAATCAAATAAAAATATTAGTTGCAAATATGTTTACAATTTGCCCTCTGAAATGCTTGCAGCTGAAAGCGTTCTATCTTTAATTATTTCATCTTTTATTACGCAATTGTAAATCTGAGAATATTATAAAAATAATTTCTTTCTAGATTTATGTGGATTTATGGTATTTTAACATTTTTGTGTATCATTCAGATCTTCATAATTCTTCAATATTCTTGTACATTTGTTTCATCGATTTATATACTCGTATGATTGCTTAACGATACTAACTTTTTTCCATGCGAATCGACAAGCTGCAAAAAGAAATATCTCGCACGCATGGTAACTTCTGCTGGATTCAGTCCCGGGCCCCAGAAAATGGTTTTCAATGGATCTACATCAGCGTTTCTCACACGCGTACAAATAAACAACACTAGGAATGTTGCCAGGCGCATACTTGTTGCATATATTTAAACAAACAATATACAATTCTTTGTCCTTGGTTAGTGCAGCGCTTCTACTGAAAAAAATCGCTGATTTAATTTTTTTTAAATTGATCACAAGGTTATGATCACATCTGCTTGTTTACCGTTGATTTTAATGATCTATGAAGATAAAAGGTCTAGTGCGAAGATTTATCACACGATCGTGCTTATTTTTTTCGAGTTTACACTCACCTAAAGTTCTGTCAGAAATGCAGAAATTCGATTTACTCTATATAGATAGAGCCGGCTACTTAAACCTTCCTTTGTCAAGTAGACCTGTTCAGCCTGTTCTTTACAGCTGAACTAGCTGCACTATAATTCAGAATTTATTTTTCTTTATATGCATTTACAGGTGTAGTGTGTAACACGTGTGTACTGTGTACACAAATACACATAAGTTTATTCACCCTAATTCTCAATTTGATCCTTCCACAAAACTTTTCGAAATTCAATCATTTACTATGTATATTAATGTGCTTTTACACGTAGAACAAAAAAGATAATTATTAATAATAAAACGATTTCACGAAATTATCGTGAATTTCCTTGTTGCACGTTCAATTTCAGAATTGTAAGAATAAAATGAATAGCTTGGATATGACGGTTTTAGGTTAGTAGAAAAGGATTTGCCAGTAGACTGCGGTTAATGCATTTTTAATAAATACAAAAACGTTTTATGCATCTGATATATTATCATATATATAACATCTATGAATATATACAATTTCAAGTTTCGATCAGTTTTCACTGATATTCTATAAAGTTTTACATTGAATATCAATTTTTGAGCTTGTAAATTTTTATATCGCCAAGTTGATGAAAAAGTAACATAAGTAAAAAATAAGCATTTTTTTTTAATAATGAAAGGAAATCGATCCTAAAATCTTTCAAGATTTAAAAAATGTTATTTTTTGTGAAAAAGGTGACACAAGTAAAAAATTAACATTTTTGAAATAATGAAAGACTTTTTGCATCGATTTCCTTTTATTATTTCAAAAATACTCACTTTTTACTTGTGTCACTTTTTCACAAAAATTAGCATTTTTGAAATAGTAAAAGGAAACCCTAAAGTTTTTCATTATTTCAAAAATGCCAATTTTTTTGTTTCAAATAAAAAGAATTAATTCTAAAATCTTTCATTATTTAAAAAATGCTAATTTTTTTACTTATGTTACTTATCTATCGTGTGGCGATATGTATAAATTTCAGAGTCAACTCTCTCTCTCTCTCTCTCTCTCTCTCTCTCTCTCTATATATATATATATATAATTACATAATTAAATGTCAACACGAATTTGTACAACTAAATAACATCTTCCGCCGTTGTACTAAGAAAAAAAAATATTTGATTTGGAAGAGTAGCGCAGTGCTACATAGAGAAATCATTTGCGTTTCATATTTTCGCCTCGTAGAAATTCTTCTTCCAGTCTCAAGGCTTCCAGCCGAGGAAGCTGTCCTGTATAACTATCTGCTTGAATATGCTGTTTGCCATGGATTGTACGGGCTTGCGATTTCGTTGAGCCTCCATGATATACGAGACTTTCCCTCGCGCCTCCGCTCGCGATATGTCGCCTCTCAGGCCGAGTAATCTGATCAGATGATCCTCCGTCATGTCGGGATACTTCTCGACCAGCGAGTGCAGATCGAGAGAGAGTATTTCCGCGTCCTCGCACCTCAGCACCTCGGCGAGGCGTTTTATTATCTCGAACGGCGAATTGAAGTTCCCGATCTTCGGAGCGATTCGATCGAAAAAGTTCTTCAGTTTGTCCGCCTCCGTCATTATCTTGGACGTGCATGTCAGACACTCGTCGTAGGTCTTCAGCGATATCTTCCGCTGCAGCATTGCAGATATGTAGCGCTTCGCGATGAGATTCTGCGCCTCGGTGATTACGTACTCGAAGTTCTTCGGGCTCAAGTGATTGTAATCCTGAAAGTAATCCTCCAACGTGACGCAGATCGTCTCCACCGGGATGGGCGACGACAGCCACTTGGGCGTGACCAGATCCTGAAAGTGCAGCTCCAGATCCAGAAAGGATTCTTGCAGCAGAATAGCCGCAGCCTCGTTCCTCAGGTGCTGATAGTTCGCCAGGAGGCTCTCGAATTTCACCGTGGCATCACCGGTAGTATTCGGCACCCAGTAAAGTTGCTTCATCTGCTGCGCCAACTCGGTAAACTGTATGCAGTTATTGACTATCGTAATCATATGATGAGTGAAGTAAGGTACCTGGCTTCTGTCCTCGAAGTGCCTCGTCTTAAACTCCAGTATCGCCTGTCTGTACATAGATCCGTACTTGATCACCTGCTCGACGCACAGTATCAAAGCTTGCGCCGTCAGGTCGGAGCTGATGGTTTTCGCGACCTGAAGATTCTGATCGATCATCTGGAATATAATGACCGGCGCCGCGGTGTGATAATATAACTCCTGAGTGCTGCTGTCGGGGAGGATGCCGCTCCTCCAGTCGAGCTTCTCCGTCTCCAGCGTCTTTCTCATCCAGTCCTCGTAATTCTGGCACATGTTCTGCAGGTACCTCTGCTGAAGATCGTTTATCATCTCAGGACTGAGTAACGGGCCTATGTCGGACGTGTCGATGTTCAACTCGGGATGCTGCATCAAATCTGGCCCCGTATAAGTATTCATGATCCACGCCAGCAGAGAGACGTATTCGTTCCCCTCCAGCCCACCGGTGATTATGTCTTTCAAATGCTGGGACAGACTCGTGTGGTACATTTTGACAAATGTCCTCACTATGTCATACCAAGGTGGGAAACAAGGTCCACACAGAGTCTTCACCACTCTCAAATCCTCGAGGATCAAGAGCCGTGTAAGTTCCAGATACCTTACCAGCCACATCTTGTTGTCCGCCCTCTCCTCTACCTGGGTCCCCTCGATTCTGTTGGCGACCGACTTTTCCAGCACCTTCATCGCCATCTCCTTCCATCTCTTGGGTCTACCCGGTGCCATAAATCCACTTTGCTTGTGCCTCTGAATGGCAAACTGATCCGCCTTCTCCTCCCTCTCTATGATTCTCAATGGCGTCACGATGACGGTCGGCTCCTTCCTGACCGTGTTTAAAGTACGGCTTAGCACCAGTCTTATCTGCTTCTCCATAAGCTGCGAGAGCATCTCGACATCTTCGAAGTAAGCCTTCAGCATGACCGTGTCTGCTGGCGACTGATTCGGCAATTTGTGAAGCTCGTACAGCAGCTCGTCCCTGGAGCTCTCGAGATCCATCAGGCTCTGATGTGCATGCAGCAGTTTACCCTCGTTTATCCACTGCTTCGTCTTCTCCACGCTCTCGGGAACGGTGAATATGTGCTTCAGGTTCTCCTTCGCGATCACGTACTGGGAATAACGCATGTTTTCCTCCTGCACTGCCTGCAGCCTGGAGCTGAGCTTCAGGACAGAGTTGAACAGCTGATTAATATGGTCCAGATCGTCTTTTATAGTGGCGATACTCTCCAGGGAGCTCTGCAGCTGCTCGAAGCCGACCCTGACCCCGTCCAATTGGCTCTGCATCGCGGTTTTCAGCATGGTCTCGACAGATGCCTTCTTCCTGGCGATCCTACGCTTGTACATGTCGATCTTCTCCAGCTGGCCCGGCCGCTGTAAGAGGTTCGTGACGTACTTTGTGCCCCTGGCGATCGCCTCCTCCTCCAGTTTCTGCAAATCCTCCGCGTTCGTCGTCATTTTCGACCTATTGTGCTCTGTACTGGCGAACTGTCAGAACTTTGGCTCTCAGGAGATCCTGAGTCTGAAAATCCTGAGTACCGACTACCGTACAGCCCGTAGCCGTACTCACTGGTTACTGGTGTCTGGTATTCACGTCACGACCGCTTATACGACAACATTGGCAACATAATGACAACTGTATGTCTGTATGAAAGAAATCGTCTCTTGGAATATTTCATGGAGGTGAGGAAACAAACCAGAAGGGAGGCTCACCGCTCACCTGTCACAGTGATGAGAAAGATAAGTCATGAGATGATCCACAAATGGAGAAGAAAACAGACGAAACTAGAGTGAAGCCTGAGATTGGCTGCGCCACGACACGTGACAATGGAGAATTAATTTTTCGACATTGGTGCTCCTGAGTTTGGAGTTTTCTTTGCTCCGTAACTCGTTGAATAATCTCCAAAATTATTTCGGAGCAATTTTGAGGTTGGTTCGCCCTTTCTGACATAAACGTAACGTGACAATAATGTTATTATAAATAAGTTAAATAAGTGGACATTATCTTTAAACGCAAGATCTTTTTGAACGCAAGATGGCACATTTATCACAATTGATTTCTTTTGGATTACAAAACGCCCGGCAAATTCTAGTATCCTGCAATATTAATAATTTAGGTATATATGTTAATATATTACTTTATTCATATATAAGACATAAAATTGCATGTGTTCAGTTTCAAATCTGTTGAAAACAAATTTTATAAAGTGTCTGCTACAAATTTTGTTGGTTATCAACAGAAATGTAATTATAAATGTAATATAAATATTATAAATATAGAATGTAATATATATAAATATAGAAAGAATTGGCTAACAGTATATGATATATCTTGTGGAATCTGCCATTTTTTAATAAAATATATCATTTAAATGGTTATAACATGACTGATTTTTAATAAAATATCTAAATGGTTACAATGTGACTGATTTTGTTCGATTTCTAACTGGAAGCACCTTTGACAATCTACTGTTAGATTATATCAGCAGATTGTGTTAACAGACCTTACAAAGCTTAGAGTATGGGCATAGAATTATCCTTTCTGTCCTCACAACAAAACGACATGTTAACTTTAGAGAGTTTTGAGTTTTCTTTTTTCTAAATCAATTTCAAGCACAATCAGATCTATAGATAAGATGTATAAGATAATTCTTTGGATTGAAAGCACTTTTAACAGAAAAAAATTAAGGATGTAATTGATATCAATTGCGGCAGTCTATCGAATCTGCTGACAAACTGCTAGTGTATTGGTACCATTTTGCTTACTATCTTTTAATTATGCATTACAATTAATAAAAAATTGCTTTCCCTATTTAGCAAAATTATGTGTCAGGCATGCTTCAAAGAAAAGCGGTACTAGCACGAGCAACACGGGTGGCCATCCTAGACCAAAACACAGAGGATGGAAAGTACAGGATGGGGCTACGGTACAAGCAGGCATGATATTGGCTACACAACGGACAACTAGATTCCATCCAGGTCTTCATGTAAGCGTTATCATACCATTATCTACTGCAATTCTATATATAGTGTACCTTCTGATTATACAGGTTGGTTTTGGACGAAACGGAACTTTATTTGCCATTGAATCAGGCAAAGTAGCGGTAACTTGTGAGAAAATCGATCCCAACTGGAAGCATTTTTGGGTCAAACGCAACTATGCCGGCCGTGAAAATCAAGTTATATATAAGAAATACTTTAATGTTATTCCTGAGCCTCAACACAATAGATTCGTATTGATAGACAAAATATAAATATATATGTATAGAAAATGTGTAAAAATTTTTTCACCGTCTCAAAATTTCTAATGTTTAATAAATGTATTCTTGATTATAAATATAGATATTGTATAAAAGTAACTATACTGACCTTTTACTACACAGTTCAAATAGAAGATAATAGAAAATTGAAGTGTAATTAGAATTATTAATTTTTAATCTACGATAAATGTAATAAAATTTTATGAAACGCGCATTATATGTGTGAAACATGTCTGTAAGTACTTGTCCGTAAGAAATAACATCTTAAAAGAAACAATTAAAAATAAATATAAATAAATATCTTTTTAAGCAAAAAAACTCTTTGTTACATCAGCTGTTTTCTAATACACTACATTCTGTCCACTGAAAAGATTGATATTTCACTGTATCTTCCTCTTCATGGTATGTAGCAAACACCAATGTCTTTCTAACGTGACAACCGAGTCTACACTGAGTCACAATTTCCGTAACAGGTATCTCTTCGTCCTTGCGTTTACACTGTACCACATATTGTGAATGAAACATTATCGGATCGCCTGCAAATAGAACGATTTTGTCATGTAGCACGCGCGTGTATAGCAACAGTTTGTCGGTTGTAGCGACATAAAGAGAAGCAGATTGTACCTGGATACACTAGGAAGTCGCCGCCAAATTTTTCTCCACTGGTAATATAATACTGCCTCTCCCAAAGATCTTTATACACCTTGTATCTAAGTTGTTGATCGGGCGTAAGCAGATACTTCCATTCCACTATTTTTATATCGTCTTTGTCCGACCATGGATACGCTAAACGTAGTATACGAATAAACATCAGGTCATACATGATCAAATGTATGTTTAAATTAGAGCTAATGATTTGCTTCGAAGACTTCGACATTCGAACCTCGAAGCTTCGAGGATTCAAAGCTTCGGCATTAAAATCTTCGAATTCTTTCGAAGTTTCAAAAAATACATTCGTGCGAATGAATTTATTCAGAAAATTTACAAATATTGTAAATAAAAAGAATTAATATATATGCTAAAAAAAAAAAATATATATATATATATAATTTTCCTAAAAAATTTGAAAGTATTATAACCTGAAATACAATATTACAAATTAATAATTAAATTGATACATATGTAAATAAAAAAGGATAATGATCAATACAACAATCAAATTAAGAAAATTAAAAAAAATAAAAATAAATTTATTCTTAAATAAATGAATAAAAATATAATAAATTAATATAATTGTTTTGACGTCATTAAATCTTCCTCAGCATAAAACAATCTTAAAAACAGAAAATTTAAAATTGTAAAATTAATAAAAATTATTAATTTTTTAATTAAATTTGCACGAATGTATTTTTCGAAATTTCGAAACTTTGAAGTTAATTTTAAACTTCGAGGCTTCGAAGATACCTTAAAGTTCGAAGCTTTGAATATTCGAAGTAAGTAAAGTCCTAGTTTAAATCAGCACATTTTACAGTACCTGTATGTATTTGAACAAGTGCCTCATTTTTGTTCAATTTAGGCAATTTAGCTAGTTCCTCTTCAAGCAAACTTTCAGTATCGATTTCAATGTTATTCAATGCTTCCTGCATCTTTTTGTCCAACGGTTTCTTCATATTCTTTTTGCTTGTATGCAAACCTAACATTTTGCGCTTTTTTCCTTCCACAATTTTGCCCATCACAGAGGCAATCTAAGGGAAAAATTGATCATATTGTTCTATTAAAAAATCCTCGTATTTAATGTAAGTAAATACTAAATATATATACAAATGTATATATAATTACCTGTTTCTTTCTGTTGTCTTTCAAACAGTCTACTTGCTCCAGGAACAGTTTGTCCCTGTACTCCTGAAATCTTTGGCTTAACGATTCATTCGGCTGTGTCTTTAGACTTGTACACTCTACGAGGCAAGCAATTTTCTTTTCGAGCAATAAAGTAACCTCTTCGGGCAACAAAAGCAATGGGAGACCTAAAAATACCTCTTGTCTAGTCGATTTTGGGAAAGAACCCACTAACTCGCCGATTATTCTATGATCCCGCCGAAGTGTCAGCCAATCTACAATGAAACCAAACATCAAATTAAATAAATTATATTAGACAATTATACACACTGATACAGTAATGCCTATTTACCGTCAGCATTCCATATAAAAGCGTTATTTCGTGAAGAAATAAGATAAATAACATCCAGCATACTCATGATTCCTTTAATTTAGTCAACAAATATACCTTAGAAAAAAAATGTACTATTATTATTAGAATATCAGAGATTTATTCATAAATCAACAAATGTCCTCCTGTAAAACAGGCGCTCTCACAATTTATTTATTAAACTTTTATTCTCCAAGGAATCTAATGTCCAGTTTATTATCTTGGATTTTATTTCTTTTTCTTTATCAATTCTTCTCTCTTTTTCTTCTTTCTGTTCTTTTCATTTTAGTGAAATTATTTTTTACTTGGGTCCAATCCTTGCAGCTGCACTGTCATATTTCCTAAATTAATGTACCTGTCAATTAAATGAATTTTTACCAATATAGATTAATTTTAATCTCGGTTTAATTTACTTTTTTCTAATTCTTAGAACTAGAAAAAAAGTTAAATCGAGATTTTATAGTTAATCTATATTGGGAGAGAGTGATACTAATGATCGATACTGATCGTGATTGTGCCTAATTGATATATTTATTTAGGAAATATAACCGATAGAAATGCACTTATTGATAGGAATGGACATTATTAATGAATGATAGCAGAGACAAGAAAGAAATATTTACTTCAAGTCTTCCACCTGAGAATCTTCTCAAAAATACACTCGATTTCGATTTATACAAAAACAAAAGAAAAAAAATAAAGAATAAGAATTGCCACGGCGACAAAAAAAAGAGCAGATCAGAGGCGCAAAAGAAACTCAATCGCGCGAGAAATAAACAAATTGTATTCGTGCGGGGTGCGGGTATCGAATCGACGCGATTCATACAGATTCATATGGATAACGAACGAAAGCCCGACGAGAACGCAGTCAGTACGCAAGATAGTGCAAGGTGGCAAGCCCGTCGTCGACTCTCCCGAGGCGATGTCACAGAATTGTCCCTTAGATCGGACGTCGACCGATTGGCCGATTCTACGGTGCGTTCCCTCGCTCTGGCTCACGTGATTGGTCAACTGTTTCGTGTGCGCGTGCCGTGCCCGTCACGGCCCTTTTTGGACGGGTTTTTAACCTCCACGCGCGCGACACGATGCGCACCGCGTATCGCTCATAGCCATAGTAGGAACAGTGTCGCCTGTGTCGCGCGGTCTCTATCACACTTCCCCCAAACAATAAGTTTTGCGGAAAGGTGGGGTAGAAAGGGCGGCGTGGAGTGGAGCCAGTGGAGGCGGGAGTGCGAGGCGACTCGCGCGAACATCTGTCACCGTGCGTGAACAAGTCGGAGCACTCGGAGTCGCAGTAGTTAACCCGCCCTGTTTCGGTCCTCCGAAAAACCGCGACACACATACCTACTGTCATGGCACCCGCTTTTGTGATTTTTTGAGACGCACGGCAGTCACCGCGTACACAAACACAACACGAGACACAGCACGGCATCTCGCGCGCGCATACACGCGAGCTCGCACCCCCGCAATTGTCGCGCTCATCGGCGATTTTTTGCTCACGGAAAGACAAGCGGAAGCTCACCCTCTTCCCTCGTGCCAGACACGGTGAGTGCGTGCGGATTTTTCGCAGGCCCGGGCCACCGAGCCGCCTTGTGTTTACTTGCCGCGCGCGCGTGCAAACGGCGCGGTCTCGTAGGGCGAGCCCTTCGGTACGGAGGAGAAGCGCACTCGTCCCGCATTCCTCTCTCCCCCTCCCTCCCAGGGATATCCGCGCTCTGGATCTGTGAACGTGAGGCGAAATCCGGGAAATGTGATTCGCTTCCGCGAATTCTCGTCGCACAGGCGTTTTTCTCAACGAAAAATTACGCTTCACATTTATGGGATTTGTGCGATTGCCGTCACACTTGTCCTCCGTCTCTTAATGAATATAGATTATGTAAATTAAGTGTATTAATTGTCTACGTCTGTATATTATATTTAACTTATATTTTTAATTGTGATTTGTGGGTGCGTCGTCTTGAGAGTCTGACTGACTGAAATTGCTGTTAATATTTCTCCTTTCGTCAATAATATCAATGTAACATTATTAAATGTATGATATTTCGATACTTAACGTAACGAACTAATTAAATATAATAGAATGGATATTTTTGGACGATTAGAGAGAGATTGTAGCGACACTAATGATGTTTTCATGTTCTTCTCTTGTAGATAATAAATCATGAGCTCAGGTAGACCAATAAAATGTGTAGTGGTAGGAGATGGGACAGTAGGAAAGACCTGCATGTTAATATCGTACACGACAGACAGTTTTCCTGGGGAATATGTACCTACCGTGTAAGTATATCCCTAATTTATTGGGATTGTATGTCTGTTTTCTCTGCCGAGAATCTCTTACTTCCACATGGGCTATAGTCCATTAAAATGATACTTTGTACTTTACCGCATGGTTTTTGCCTCAGTTTCTCTTTCTTAGACCAATCAAACAGAGTGGCTAATAATAGTAGTGGAGTATGAGATACCTAACTGCTATGTACAGGAAGTAATTCATTTCCAGTCATCTTTTTGTTACTTCCTGCCCTTTAAATTCTCACAAATCTATTTTTGTTGGGCTCCACATCTCATTTGGCAATATTTTTATTGATTCACATAATTTAAACTTGAGATATAAGCAGATATAAGCAAACAAATGCAAATATAAACAGTGAAGAAAATTGCTTTTCTTCTCTTTCTTCTTGTTTTACCTTTGATTTTGAGTAAAATATTTAATAAATTAGTAATATTTAATAATGAATACAAATTGAAAGCAGATTATAAGAAATATGACAATCAATTATACGCTAAACCTGTAATGTTTTGCCTAGGTTTGACAATTATTCTGCACCAATGGTTGTCGACGGAATTCCGGTTAGCCTAGGGCTATGGGACACAGCGGGGCAGGAGGACTACGACAGACTGCGTCCACTCTCCTATCCTCAGACAGACGTGTTTCTCATTTGTTTCTCCGTAACGAGCCCTTCGTCATTCGAAAATGTCACCAGTAAATGGTACCCTGAGATAAAACATCACTGCCCAGATGCACCAATGATCCTCGTTGGAACTAAAATAGACTTGCGTGATGACCGTGAAACGCTTACTGCCTTAGCTGAACAGGGCCTTAGTGCTATTAAGCGTGAGCAGGCAGAAGCTGGCAAACAAGGTGTGTAAAAACAAAATGTCTTCTACTTTGTATGTACATAATTTAGTACATAGCAGAGCGCGCATGTTTGTTACAGATTCGCGCGGTGAAATATATGGAGTGTTCCGCTCTCACGCAGCGCGGACTGAAGCAGGTATTCGACGAGGCAGTGCGTGCTGTTTTAAGACCTGAGCCGCAGAAACGTCGACAAAGAAGGTGCATTATGTTATAAGTGACGGCAAAAATTGAAGGGAAATACATAGGTATACACGTATATAAAGCAACCGATCAAAATAAATTTGATCATGCAAAGAAAAAAAAAACGAATGTTTTAAAGAGAAAATGAATAGAATACATGCATTTTAACGAATTATTCTCTGGCAGCTATAGAATATTATCATATTACGGAAAGAGTACAATTTAAAACTTCCTGGTCTCAACGCGAGTCGTGATGCTTAATTCACGATCAGAAAGTTTAGACAACGAGAAAGTAAGAAGAAAAAAAAGAGAGATAAAATAAATATTTAGCAACATTTACGGGGGGAAGTTTACAAGCTGCAGGCTTGCAGGCGTCTTTCCTTGAACTTGCATTTATACATATATTTGCATAATGATAAAAGGATACATGACCATAGTAACGTGCAGTCAATAGTTTAGTGGAAAAAACGGCTCATGATATTTTTTTTTGTTATTCTACAAGAGAATCTCTGTTAATATTGCAGTCCTACAAATCGATCAATGCATTGTAAATGTGTTGTGATGATTAAGTACCGAAGCTTTATTTCGGAGGGCTGCCAGATTTTTGACTTTTTTACATTTACAATAGTAGGAACATTAATTTTTAGTACGTATAAAGTGCGATAGCTGTCACAACAATCCACCATGCTGAGAAGTTTTACGAGATTATAAAACTAGCATTATAGAATTATTTAAACATGCAGTGCCATAGCAACGAAAAATCAAATTTTACAAGCACTCTTAATCAATCAATCAGTTCAGACAATATATATATATTTTACTAACGAGAATAACGAAAATTTTTAAAAGATATAGCCAGTAAAATTGGAGTGCATAATGGTTCTTTAGACAAAAGTATAGCATGTTTGTCTTTCCATATATTTGGGGCATTTGAGATTTTTATTTTTATCAATACTTTTCATATAAGAAATGTATGGTATGCATACAGAATACTGCCATAAAATAACGAAAATTTCATAGTATTCCTAATACTATTAGAGAAGGAAGAAAATCAATAATCTCTCATGTAATAATTATACAAACTGAATCTGATAGTGATAGCACATGAGACATTTGTTATTTATAATTGTGACATGCCTGTGTGTTGAAATTAAGAAGTAATAACGTATTGTGTATGTGCATTAATATTTATTTTATTTTAATAAATTACAAAACGGAGAATTTTAACGTAGTTTTATATATGCGTATTGCAGGATTTCAATATGATGTTTTATTTATAACGTTTTCTGTTTGTGCTTGTAACGGGGTTTTGATATGAGTTTTTGCATTGGTGCAATTTGACCTATTAATATTATTCGAAATTCGAATTCATAAGCTGAATATTCTTTATAAAAAAAATAATCAAAAGAAGTGTAACAGTTGATAATAACACAAGATGCTGACATAACAAGTACAGCATTGCAAAGTCCACCTAAATTGAAATATATAAATATAGCACAATGTATTTTCTTAAATATCCATAGTATATCTCACTCTCTTCCATTTATTTGTATGAAAATTGTTTACATAAAATGTACGAGAAAACTAGTACGATGATTTAGAAAGATAGATATCTTGTACAAATAAGTATTGCTATAAAGTTAAGCCCATATCATTGTTTTTAATTCATTATTTTATTAATCGATCGTAATTGCGATTGTACTTTTTTTTACAGATTTTTTTCTATTTGTGTTTAGCTACAGAGAAAAGTCGAGTTTTATTAATACAGATATTACATATATGCTCTCTAAAAACTCAATGATAAACCGATAAAATGGATATTATCCTTGTGATCATACTATTTTTTTATATTTGAAAAGTTTAGGATAGAAAAGATAGGACCTTTGTGCCATATGCTTTCCATTTGTAAAACAGAACATTAATGATTTTTAAACATTGAAAAGCATAGACTTTTCTTTTACACAATCTACATCATTAATATTAATTAATTCACAAACACAAATTTTACGGTTACATAAGAAAACTTAGCGATCAATGATCGTTTCGACCGTTCTAGTCTCAAAATGCTATTAGAAGCAAACAGAAAGGCATATTACAGCTTACTAGGTGTACATAATGTAGCATAGAAGCTTACTCTAAATTTTGATTGAGTCTACATCTTTTAAGACGTACTTTTTGATTTGCTTATTCCTGAAATTTTTATGCGCCAATAGGTCTTATCATGAAATTGTTTGATTAATTAAAATACTACAGCTAATGTCTATCTTTTGTTTGATTTGTGTGATTTGTTTGAATAAAATATAAAATAATCGTTAAATAATTATATATATATAATTACGTACATAATAATTTATATATGCATATAATTATTATATAATTAATAGTTATATATATATATATACATATATATAATTATTTAGCGGATATATATTTATATATCTACTTTCAAAAATTATGAGAATAAATTGCTAGAATATTTCCCTAAATTAAAAATGTATGTTTTAAATGATCAAATCTAGTATCGTTTCTCTTTGTTTATTGCAATTTAAGGTAATTTAAATTTTTTATATGTATATGTATACCCCTGCATATGTATAATAATACACTAGTTAAGCATAATAATATACTACAATTATGTATTATAATGTAATGCATAGATTGCATTTTTTGTAAGTAGTGCACTTATTTTCAAATTTCCAGGTACTTACTACGCGCATTGATTTTTTTATGTTTCAAAATGGATTATCAACAGCAATGCAACACAATATTTAATATTTTTATTTCGAACTTGTATACATTTTTTTATACAAGGCATCTAATATCATTTCTGATCATTCAAATTGAACAAACTTAATTACAAAATTAATATAATAAAATAATAATAATATTACTAACAGAATGAGTAAATTACTATACAGCCTGTATTTCTCAACGATAAGTTTGAATTTGTGCATGCTTTAATTTAACGTCGTTTAAATTACACTACTTACAACTTTTGCATTTAAATGGAGATTGTAGGATGCGAATTGCTTTCTCATCTCTCCTCTTTTTAACGAAATCATCGAGGGATTGCTATGAACCAAAGTTATATATTACAATTTAAGATAACATCTATGTTTTTTATTGCGGACTATTGCACATAAGTATATAAAAAAAGAATGAATGTATGAAATGTAAAGATATTCTAGTCATCACGAATCTGCTTCTAACTTTTATTTGTGTACGTGACTAATGCTCTCAGATTGCACATAAACAGAATATAATCCTTAAACGGAGCAATTTTAGCGTGTAAATGGACAAGAAATGAGGACAGAAAGAAAAGGGGATATGAAAGTAAAGATGCAACTTAATACTGTCAATTTAGGTAGAATGCAAGAAAACCAAACGATGAGAGTAGAAATTCTGTAGAAATTACAAATATATGTATATGTGCTAAAATATGTAACTTTAATTATGAGTAATTTATAAACATCTGTCTATTTTCGTATATATAACAGAATTCGTTATTTATATACTAACAGGACAGCATAAGAGAGCGTCCCGTCATGCTTTTACAAGTTTTTTGAATCTACTGATTTACAAATTTATAACAATGAGATACCTCGTACATTAATTTTCGAGGGGGTAACCACTCTTGAATTCTGTTGTACAACCTGTCAGAATTCCGTTGAATTCCGTTGAATTCCCTGAAGTCCGATGAATTCCGGTAAAGTCCGGCGGATTCCGTTGAAGTCCGATGAAAATTTAAATCAATTTTTAAAAAAAAGGTCATGTCTGTTCCAATTCCTAAAAAAAGGTCATCAGTTTTGATCGAGATTTTAGAAAGTTTCGCCTTTGTCCGGATATTAACATTCGCCTGGATGTTTGTTGAAAAATTTTGTTGGTGTTTTGAGACGAAGATGTGAAAAGTGGCAACTATATCCATAAAAGAAGTCTAGTGAAGTCCGACGAAGTCCCATGAAGTCCGATGAATTCCGGTGTAGTCCGATAAATTCCGATGTAGTCCGGTGAATTCCGGTGTAGTCCGATAAAGTCCGTGAAGTCCGGTGAAGTCTTGAAGTCAGAAATCCAGGTGTACATATATTTTCTGAGTGGTTACCCCCTCGGTTCAACTAAAACGACGGGAAAGTTACTACAAACAATTACAAATAATTATAAAAATTGTGCCGCAAGCGAATGCGAGGTATCTTGAAAATTGACAAAGTTACGTTTTTTATTTATTGCTAATATATTGTAAGTTTTGAATAATTCAACACACGACGGAAAAGTTACTGTACAAATAACTAGAAACGATTCCAAATCAAGATATATTATTGTTTTTTCTGTAACTCAAAGTCGGGTGATAGTCATTTTTTCAAAATTCTTTTTTATAAATTTTTTATAAATTTACAAACGAAATTATACTACTACAAACAACTAAAAACAAAATACTAATCTTTTTTTATTGTAACTTATTTTAGTAAAAGTCTGGTGCCAAGTTTACGTAGATAAATTAGCGCATAAACGAGTTCGGATGGTGTGAGTACAGAGGCGTTTAAAATTATTTCTCAAAAATAATACTTCGAAAAATAACTTTATCACACATGGTTAAATTCGTGTTAAAATACCCTTTAATTTGGTAAAAAAGTAATTTTGAAAAATTAAAAAAAATGTTTGGTGGTGGGGGTAAACAAAAAAATAAACAATAAAAAAATTATTTTAAATTACAATTTAAAGTACTCTTAAAGCCATTCAACTTTTATTAAAAACATTTTTTTCTATTTCTCGTAGTTTTGACGATATTTCCATTGAAATAAAAAAATCGATTTTTTTCTAAGGGATGTTTCACCTCTTTAACGTACGACTCAGTACGTATAAAAAAATTGTGGTATCTTATTTTTATCTGTAGTTTAA